ATTTTAAATTACCAAAAGAATAAAAAAATATTTCTCATAATTTAATGATAAATTATGTAGTACTTATACCATTAATTGCAAATCCTATTTTTGTTAAAAGTATAATGTTGTCATAGTAATATTTTTGTTTTGTAGTTTTATGTTCTCACGAATTTTGTTAGTATAATGTTTGCATATCTAACATATATATAATTTTGTCTCTAAGTCTTCTCTACATGACAACTGTTTAAAAAGGATACAAAAGATATTTTAAAATTGTTAAGAGCATTCATGCATTTAAAAAGAACACAAAAGAAAATTTTAATTTCTCCAGCCCGTTTTCTACATGACACCTGTTTAGAAAGGGATATAAATTTTTTTTTTATTTGTTTAGGTTATTTGATTGAGAAAAATAAAAGGAAAGATCTAGAAAGAAAAAAAGGGATAAGGTTGAAAAAAATTTACAGTTAAAAAAGAGTAAGAGAATAAGAGAAAGAAGAAGTCTTTAACCTCTCTATTTCTTTTTTCCTTTCATTTTCCACTTTGCTATCCTTTTCTCTTTCAAAGCAATCTTTTTATATTGAATCTTTCTTTGAAGTTTATTTGACCATTTTTACTATCCTGGTTTAGGTTGATCAATGGTTGTCTACTAATTTACACTTTAGGAAGAGGAAAAGGGTTTGGTCGGGTTGTTGGAATGAAGGCACTACTAATGATTAGAACTGTAAAGTAATGGCATGTTCACTGGAAAGGAATGAGAAATGTGATAAAGGGGAGAACTGAGCTTGAACTCGAATCCAACTCAAACCAGAGTAACGATGATGATAATAGCGATAAGCTTTCATAGGCTTTTCTTCCATCAAGTCTCCAACGAATGCTCTCCTTAATATATAGTCTAAAATCATAACTTTCTCCTTTTTTGTTTCATTACTCCTTTAATTAAATTTAATCTTTTTTTTAATTTTAATTTTGTCTTGTAGTTAACACCTACAACTAAGAATGAAAAAGCTCATGGTAACGTAAACCTTATTATTTTCAGAAAAACTTTTGATTTTTGACCTTAAATTGTGATTTATGCTAATAACAAAAAAAAATGTGTTTAATTTTGCAATGGATATATTAGTTGAATGCTTCACTTAAAGAAATTGATCCTAAAATTGTTAACATAATCGAACTTGAGAACATTAGACAAGTCTTTTTTTCACTTTTTTGTTAATTTTAATTTTTTAATATGTAGGTATTTGATCCATTGAAAAAGAAGAGAATTATTTTCCTTTTCTGCAACTTTAGCCTTATTAAAAAATCATATTTCTTTTTAATGTATAATAGGAATTAGAACTTATCCCATCATAGAATTTTATGTCCACCTCGATGATACAAGCGGTTGGTTTTGTCATGACTAGTACATACAATGAAGGAGATCTTAGTGATAGATACTATGGAGAAAATGAGTATAACAATCTACTTGGCTTTTGTATATTGTCAATTTTTTTCACCATTGATATGATTTATTTAAATTGATTTCAGAATGATTCTCATTTTTCAAGAATTAAATCGTAAAATAAATGTATTGGTATATGAAGTTTTTACTTTTTATTAGAAATTCTTAGTAGGGTAAAAAGATGTCCAAAGCATGCCTTTGAGGATTTTGGGTTGGATTTTGCAAAGTAGGGAGGTGAATGAATCATGCACATAATTTTTTTTTATGTTTTTTTACATGGTTTGAATTGCCATACTTTAGTGTTTTATGAATGTATTTTTTTTTTCTTTTGGATTTATTTAAGAGAATTGAGAAATAAAAAAGAAAGAGCAAAAAAAAAAAAGTGAAAAACATGTAGAAAAAAAACTATTTAATTTTCAAATTACAATTTTGTTTTAAAATTCACTCAATTCCTTAATATTTGCAAGATTTTTTTATTTTGTTAATTGCAAATAAAGGTGAGCTATTTTCTTTTTGTTGAAGTAGTGATATTTTAGAGTATCTAATGCTATCTTTTTAAAATTATACTAATTGCTATGTCTTAGTGATTTATGAATTATGAATATAGGTTTTTTTTTTTTTTCATTTGGATTTATTTTTTGTTTAATTACAAAGAGAATTGAGAGAGAAAGAAGAAAGAGCAAAACAAAAGGTGAGATATATATGCTTTACATTAAGAGTTTATGTTTTGCTATGTTTTAATGTTCTTCATTCTTATGTTATGTAAAAAAGGGTAGTGATATTTTAAAGTCATTGTTTTTGTAGATGAACCTTATTCTTATCCATAATGATAAACCTATTTATAAATCACTCGTCCAAGCTTAGTACATTGATGAGATTTGGCATGATAAACCTCTTTTGCTTTCTTTTGAGCCATTGTTAGATTTTGGGCTAATCTTGTTGACAACAATGATTTTTTTTCTTTCTTTTTACTATTGTTTTAAGTTTAAGTTTAAGTTTCGTTAATTTGGTCAAATGGACTTTGAGTAGGAAAAAAACATATGTACCAACCATTAAATCAAATATTAACAATTATTTTTCTTGATAATATAGAATTTGTTGTGCCTAAATTATTATTTGATGAAAATGTTGATATATGACCTTGAGAGGAAAATATGGATAACTAAGAGAGAAGAACAAGCAATAGCAAAGAAAGAATTTATTGAGAACATGACATTGATGAAATTAGAGCTTAGAGACAAACTTTACATTGATGGAGAAAATCTTGGTTACTTAAATGTTGTTTTTATTCCATTTTTATTGATTATATGATAAAACAAATTAGTTTTCCCAAAGTTAATTTTCTAATTAGATTTGGTAATCATTTGAAACAAAATACTTTAAGACGATTTTAAATGCCTATATATGAATATTTTGGTTTTTTTGGCTAAAGCTTGATTTTAGATTTTTTATGGTTTTACTTCTTTTAATGTTTGATAGTATTTTAAGTACTATATTCTTGCATTAGTATAATTAGATTGTGAATAAAATTAGAATATTATAACTAAAAGCATGAAGATGAAGGTGTTGGCCAAATGGGTAGTTTTATTCGGTATGAGAATCTATATTTTTACTTAATTATATTTTGAAATTATTTTGGCTTGAAGATAATGTTGGATTGTTTTTCCTTTTTTGAGGTTGCTACTTTGAGGTAGCTTTGTTCCATATATATTTGTTTGACTTAAAAAAGCTCATGATTGAAAGCTATTTGTCTAAATGCTTATTTGAATGATAGTATATTGTAAGGTTTTAGTTCTTTACAAGTCTTAATGTACATAAAGAGCTATTGCTTTGCCATGATTAATGGTGTAGGATGTGAGGGATTTATTCATGTTTGTTGGTGATATTTTGAACTTCCTTACAAAACTTCCTTATACTTAACTGTTTATGTTCTTACCTTATATTTTGAACTCTCTAAAAGCTAACAATTTATTTTTGTTGATTCCATTTTCAATAATCTTATGATACTTCTAGCAATTTTCTATGTACATAATGTTTTATTCAGATTAATAACTGGATAAATACACTTTTTTACTAAAAAAATTTGACTTCAAAGGAAGCTAGGAATGATTTCTAGTGTAAATATATGTATTAATAAATATGATACATTACCATTTTTGAAAAATAAGATGAAATATATTATATATTATTAGCTGATCACCTCAAAATTAAATATCAAAATTTTTCAATGAGTATAATAGTCCTAAATTGTATTTAACTTATATTTTTTTTATCAACTATTTAAATTTATTTTCAGTTTGAAATTTTCACAAATACGACAAAGTTAAACTTTGGCTTTATAGTTGTTTTATTATTTATTATTTATTATTTATAAATAAAAACTACAATTGCAATAAACAATTTTTAATATATTTTACATAATAAAAAATTTAATAAACAAATCAAATAAAATAAAAGAATCAAATATACACACATAAAAATTAAATGTGAGACATAAAGATTGCTTTTTCCCCTCTTCCGTTAAGATAAAACCTCATTCTCGGCGAGTTAAAAAAACAAACAATTTTACTAAGATGATTGTATTATATAAAAGTTAAAATTATCTTACATTTTACTTTCCAAATTATTTATTTTTTATATAGAAGAGATTGTAATATGAAGATTGGGAAAAAAATTTTCTTTTGCTTTTAAAAATAGAAAAACAGGTAAACAAAAACAAGTTAACAACCAAAACGACTAATTAGTGCATAAGTTATCTGTCAAGAGCTGCTAACTACAGATTAAGAATGAATAATGGAAGTATCATATCAAAATCGGGAAAGGATCCTTTATGCTGCGAAAAAAATAGTGAAAATTTGTATTATTTTATTTAATGATGATAAATGCATTCTCAATTAAATTTAAAGGTGATATTTGTTCAAATTATATTTATCTTTTTAATTAATTTTTATTTATTTTTTATATAATTTAAAATCATTAAATTTTAGACTTAGATTTAGTTAAAAAAATATTTTAATATTGTTAGATAAATAACGAAAACTTTTACTATTTTTTAAATAATAACACATTACATCAAAATCCAACGATGTCGTATTCAAAACTTAACAAAGCTGTCGAGCTTTTTTAAAACAATAACAGTTAAAAAAAAAGGCCACCTTCTTAGATCTTTCCTTAAAAATTTAAGATCATAATCATGGCCGCTATTGCAAAGTTACAAGGTTCAAGTCTTGTCGTAAGTATACTAATTATAAAAAATAAAAAAATTTAAAATAAATTTGATAATCTATATATTTAATATTGATATTATATTTATTTTATATAAAAATTATTATATTATAATTTTATATTAATATAAAAATATAAAATAAAATAATTTTTTTATCAAATTTATATTAAAATTTTAAATCATATGTTTTTATATTTTTATATAATTTTGATTTCATATCTAAAATAACCAAAAGCCACTAAAAACCTTCCATTAATAATACAATCCACCAAAAACCCCCCAATAATAATTTAAAAAAAAAAAAAAAACAGAATCTGGCGGCCAAACGCGTTTTCCTGCAATTATGTCCAAACACATCTACAAGCCTCAATCTATTTTTTATTCAATATAAATCAGAGTAGTTATAAACAAAGTTAAAAGACTTTCCATTTCCGCTCTCTTTTAAGGGTGGTACAGCCAAATGTAACTTCATTTTCTTCATTTTTCAACTATTAAGCCAAATGCCAAGACCTGGTAAACCATAACCCATGCCTTTTCTTCTTCTTCTTCTTTTTTTCTTATTTTTCCAAGGATCTTCTTTTAACTTTCTCTTCTTCAACTTTACTCAAGTTGAATTTTCAATTCTTTTCAGCTTTTGATATCGTATTTATCTTTCTTTGCTTTCTATTATATATACTGTCAAGCTTTCGCTTACTGAATTTGAGATCCATTGATTTTTGTGTTTTTTTCTTCTTTTTTTTTTGTAGCATAGATGATGGATTTATTGATTGGTAATCCATAATTGTGTTGACTTTTTTGTTTGTAGGGTGCACTTTATTTCTATAAATCAGGCTCTTAAACTTGCTTCTTCTATAGTTTTTCATAATTGTTGTAATCTTTAGTATTATTTTTATGGATAATGTTTGAAGTTTGGAGTTAATTAATGAGTTCTTCATTTTTTTGCATCAATTTTTAGTTCATTTTTTAAGGTATCGTTTAAGTTTCGATTTTGATATAAAACTTTTCTTATTTTTTTGGAATTTGAGGTTGGCAAGGATTGTCCTTGCTAGAGTCTAGCACTCTGCCAACAGATCACACAACGGCTGGCTAAATTTTTCACTCCAAGTCTAGAGGAGAATATAGGGAGCTTGGTTTTGGTTAGGAAGATCAGATCTTCATGTGTTGGATTGGCCTGTTTATTGGTTTTAGATATTGATGTTAAAACAAGTGATAGTATTTTGAAGAAGAAATTTAAGTGTGAGAATAGAGATGGGTAATACTTGTGTAGGACCAAGCATTTCCAAAAATGGATTTTTCCAATCGGTTTCTGCTGCAATGTGGGGGTCCCGATCACCTGATGACTCAGTTTCTCACACTAATGGGGAAACTGGGAGTCAGATAGCATCTAAAGAACCTGAATCACCATTACCAGTCCAAAACAAACCTCCAGAACAAATGACAATGCCCAAACCAGAGACCAAACAAGAGGTGGAACCAGAGACTAAACCAGAAACTAAACCTGAAAAATCAACAAAACCCAAGTCCCCTCATATGAAGAGGGTGTCCAGTGCAGGACTTAGGACTGAGTCAGTGTTACAAACAAGGACTGGTAATTTCAAGGAATACTATAGCCTGGGGAGAAAACTAGGACAAGGGCAATTCGGGACGACTTTTCTTTGTGTGGAGAAGTCAACTGGAAAAGAGTATGCTTGCAAATCGATTGCAAAGAGAAAATTGTTAACTGATGAGGACGTCGAGGATGTGAGAAGGGAAATTCAAATAATGCACCACTTGGCAGGGCATCCAAATGTTATATCAATAAAAGGGGCTTATGAGGATGCAATGGCAGTTCATGTTGTTATGGAATTCTGTGCTGGTGGTGAGCTTTTTGATAGAATTATTCAGCGTGGACATTACACAGAAAGAAAGGCGGCTGAACTTACAAGGACTATAGTTGGGGTTGTTGAAGCGTGCCATTCTTTGGGGGTTATGCATAGAGACCTAAAACCTGAGAATTTTCTCTTTGTCAATCAGCAGGAGGATTCGCTGCTCAAGACAATTGATTTTGGCTTATCAATATTCTTTAAGCCAGGTATAAGCTGATTGATCTCATTCTCTTTCAAGTACCGAAAAGTTGTAATCTTAGCTTTCTTTATTTACCTATTTTAGTCATTCCTTCACTGACCTGGTTTAATATGCATACTAGAGTAGGGGAAGCAATTGTATAAGCTACTTGAAATTTTAGATTTATTTATAAATAAAAGGAAAAAAGAAAGAAAAACAAAAGAGGGAGGAAAAACACTAAATCGAGCTTGTAATTTCTCTATTGCCTGGAGCCCATAAGTGTTTAGGCTAAAAATATCTTTTCAATTTGATAATCATTTGTCCATTAAACTGCATTGATTTCTTAACTTTAAAACTTAGTTATTGTCATAGTCCAAATTTTAGTAAATGAATTCCAATGAAGTTATTGAATCAGCAAAATTAAGAATTCTCTGCTACATAGAGTTTGTTCGTGTATGCAATACCTGTCATAAATATGATATTGCATTAGAATGCCTTGTAAAATTACAAAAAACAATTAATATCAATCTTATAAAATGCATTTCGAATGATTTGTGACACTGGGTGTCATGATACACTGCTAGCCCTGTGGTGATATTCTGCCACCAGCCATCCAATCCGCTATGGTATCGCTTGCACATCTATGTCCTATGCTCTCATCATTGGTTTAGGCTTGTAAGTTGTGTTTGATTCTGTAACATTTGTGGCACAAAAGGTTTTTTCCCTTGTACTCTTGTTTGGACATGATGCTGTTGCGTTAACTATTTAGTTTCAAGTTCCACAATTAAGTGTGACTTTGAGCCCCAATCTTGAAGCAGGTCATGACTTTCTTGAATAAGCACTCTTTAGGAAAGACAATGATTATCTTTTAGGCATTGGCATGAAATTTACTAGGCTTTTCTTTGGTTTACTTGTAAATATATATGTATATATTTATAGAGCTTTTACTCCTGCATCGAGTGCATTCTTGGTTAGTTTGCATAGTTAATTTAACAAAAACACCTAGTAATTTTGACCTCCATGTGTGATTTACTACATCAATAGAGGATTCAAGATAAGATTTACAATTTATTTTGTAATCCTCTTGTTCACTTTCTCCGTATAGGTGAAAGATTTACAGATGTGGTTGGTAGCCCATACTATGTTGCCCCAGAAGTCTTACGAAAGCGTTATGGTCCAGAAGCAGATGTATGGAGTGCAGGAGTAATTCTTTACATTCTATTAAGTGGAGTTCCTCCATTTTGGGCTGGTAAGAAACTTTCCGATGCATAAGATTTTTCCATTTTGATTAATCACATCCGAGTTTAATCATGGTCTAGCCAAGTGCAATTATTTTAACAGCTCTTTTGTTTACACCATTGTGATTATGTTTTGATCTTCACTTTCCTCTCCTTTTTTTTCCCATGATGCAGAAAACGAGCAAGGTATATTTGAACAGGTCTTGCATGGTGACCTTGATTTTGAGTCAGATCCTTGGCCTAGCATCTCTGAAAGTGCAAAAGATTTGGTGAGGAGAATGCTCATTCGAGATCCCAGGAGACGGTTAACTGCACATGAAGTTTTGTGTAAGTCACATTCTTTTACTCGAGCTTTTTTTTTATCATTATTTTGTTCTTATGCTACATGGGTCATGCTGTGGGCAAGTGGGTGCTTCCTGTGCTATTGGTGTGGTTGTAATCCCCTTTCTTTCATTTGGTGCTTAGGCTACGTATCCTTAGACTTTAGGCTCTGGGTTATCCTGTGTCACAGGATGGTTTCCTAGTTAAAAAAATAAAAATTTTATTATCGGTTAATTGTTAAGGCTATATGTGGTACATATTAATTGAGTAATGGAATCTATTACTATTGCAAGTCTGAAACACATCCATAGTGGAGCTCTAAAATGCAGCATTGAATTTGTCATAAAGTGGCTTTGTAGTATTATTCCTTGGGTAGTGTGGCTCACATTTCTATTGACTTCCATTGACATATTATATATATTGCAAAAGGTCTATCCATCCAACAGGTGGGGATACTAGATCTTGTATGACAAATTCTAAGCCATCTAACAAGGCTTTTACTTCATATGATGGATGGATGCCTGTTTCTGCCCTCTTGTTTCCTTTTTTACTGGAATTTGAAAAGATTGGAATATAGAACCCAACCCATGATGCGTACAACTTACATAAGGTTCCTTTAATTCTTTTCCCAGATTCTTTTGAAATAAATAAGCCAGGTGTTTGAAACTTCTGTGAATTTGGAGTGGGGTCCATTTTTAAGTCAACGACTTTAATAATATGGCTTATTTTCATTGAGGAATATGAAGAAAAGAAGTTAGGAATCTGATTTTATGAGCAAGTGCCATCAAATTTTTTATATCATGGAAGAGGGAGTGCTTAAGCAGAGGACAAAACTTTTAGGATTTGTTAAGGTTTTGTTTGATTGGCACTTTTTCTGTTTGCTTTTTGCCTCCAAAAGCAAAAAAGCAAATAAAAGGATTATACACAATATTTAATTGTTTTAGATGACAAAGTGCATGATTCTACTTCTATATAGACTAATTATGTTATAAGTGGTGTTATATTTTAATTATTTGTTCATTTTTAAATCAATTATAATTTTGTGTTTTACTTTTTGCTTTTGCTTTATAGCAATTCTTCAAAAAGTAAATAGCCAAAAGCAAGCAACAAAAGCATCAAACATATGGAGTCTTTTAGCACATCTTAATAAGTTAATGGTAGAGCTGATGGCCTAAATCTATGCAATTCTTATTTCCTAGAAAGATTTTGGTCTGCCATGTTATCCACAATGTAGATGGCAACTATTTATGTGGTTAATATAAAAGACAGTGACTATAGATTTCAGGAGGGCACTTTTTTTTCCAATGCTAATATTATTTAAAATCTATGCAGGCCACCCTTGGATACAAATTGATGGTGTTGCTCCTGACAAGCCTCTTGATTCTGCAGTTTTAAGCCGTTTGAAGCAATTTTCTGCAATGAATAAGCTCAAGAAAATGGCCCTTAGAGTAAGTCCCTTCCATGCTACACATCATATATGGGGAAAAGGGGGTTGACAGAGAGGGAGTAAGGAATGGATGAAGAGGGAGAGTGAAAGGATTGTTTACGTACAAGTGGAAAGCCTGACACGTTGAGTGGATACACATGCCATCGAAACCTATTTATCATGATGTTTACATTCAAAATTTTTAGTTCTTTAGATTTTCTAATTATGTTGGTGAACTGAATTTTTCTTTCTTTTTCCTTGCAGGTAATTGCAGAGAGCCTATCTGAAGAAGAAATAGCTGGCCTCAAAGAAATGTTCAAGATGATAGACACTGACAACAGTGGTCAGATCACCTTTGAAGAACTTAAAGCAGGACTGAAAAGAGTTGGAGCTAATCTTAAGGAGTCCGAAATTTATGACCTTATGCAAGCAGTAAGTATGAGAACAAATTTGGATATAGTACATTGAGTTAAACAACTGCTTTTTACCAACTGCTAGTCAGTCAGGTGTATTTGGGATGATTCTTGTAAGGATAATGAGCTAAATATTTTTCCTCATTCTGTATTTAAAGAAAAGCACAGGGCATTACCCCACTTGCATGGACCCAAGAAGCCTACTGAGGACCATAGAAACCCATTTCTTCACCTTTGTACATCAAACCTTGGCACAATGGTAACACCTAAAAGCATCTTAGTTGTTCAAAGAAATTTCTAGAATATCTTCCTCATTCCACACTTAAGCAACAAACATAGAGATGGTTGCCTCAAGAAGAAAAGATTTTAAAAGGAGGACATGTTAAAGTAGCTGATGGCTAGTTATGCAGTTCTAAAGGCAGATAATTAAGAATAGTCTGTGAATTTGCAGAACTCTCTTGATTCAGTTTTACTCAATTTAGGATCTTTAGTGTTTAAATGCAACAAGGTATGGAGTTAAAGGAAGGAGGAGTGGAAGAAAGACCCTATGCTATGGACTATCTTTAACCATGGAACTGGATTCACTTCAGGTCCCAAGTCATTCTGTGGAAAAACTAAGAAATAAATCAGTGTGAAAACTGAATGTATATTGAAAAACTGCTTATTGAGAATTATACAAGAATCTTAGGTTTATATACAACTAACTAGGGGTTAAAGTAGGAAACTAAATCTTCCTAAAAAACTAATCCTATAATTCAAGGATTGTCTATCCTAATTTTAGGGATACAAATACTTAATTCTAGAAATACAAATATAAATATATAGATTACAAGATTACAACCAGCTGTAAATAAGTGTTTTCCCACACTCTCCCTCAAGCTGGTGAATAGGTGTTTTCCATTCCCAGCTTGAAAATAATTTCTTTAAATGTTGCACTACTGAGACCTTTAGTCAACACATCTGCAAGTGGACCTTTGGTTGATACATAAGGTGTACAAATCAACCCATTGTCTAGTTTCTCCTTTATGAAATATCAGTCTACTTCAATGTGTTTTATTCTGTCATGTTGCACAGGATTGTGTGCAATGCTTATTGCAGACTTGTTATCATAGTAGAGTTTCATTGGTCCATCCCACTTGATCTTCAAGTCTTCTAGGATAATCTTTAACCATAGTAGTTCACAAATTCCTTGAGCCATTGCTCTGAACTCTGCTTCAGCACTTGATCTTGCCACCACATTTTGTTTTTTACTTTTTCAAGTCACAAGATTACCACCTAAGAAAGTACAGTAGCCTGAGGTGGATCTTCTATCAGTTACTGAACCTGCATAATCAACATCTATATATGCTTCTAGAACTAACCTCGAATTTCTTTTGAATAAGATACCTCTCCCAGGATTGGCCTTCAAATAGTGCAATATACGGTAGACAGCCTGTAACTGCACTTCTTTAAGACTATGCATAAATTGACTTACCACACTCACAGAATATGTTATATCAGGTCTAGTATGTGAGAGATAAATGAGTCTCCCAACTAATCTTTGGTACTTCTTTCTATTTACAGCAGCATCTTCATTAGCTTCTCCAATTTTTATGATTAGGATCTATAGGGGTATTTGCAGGTTTACATGCAAGCTTCTCAGTTTCCTTCAGAAGATCCATCACATATCTCTGTTGTGAGATGAAAATACCATGCCGTGAGTGAGCTACTTCAATTCCTAGGAAGTACTTCAATCTCCCTAGCTCTTTTATCTCAAATTTTCTAGCCAAACACTGTTTTAGAGATTCTCTCTCTTTTTCATCATCTCCAGTTACAATTATATCATCAACATATACTAATAGAACTGTGACTCTCCCTGAATCAGAGTGCTTGATAAACAATGTGTGATCTCCTTAACTCTGTTTATATCCCATTGCTAGCATCACTTTGGCAAATCTCCCGAACCAAGCTCTAAGAGACTGTTTAAGGCCATATAAAGCTTTTTTCAGCCTGCATACTTTGTTTGCTTCTAGATGACCTCTAAATCTCGGTGAAACTTTCATATATATTTCTTCTTTCAAATCACCATGTAGAAAAGCATTCTTTACATCAAATTGTTGAAGCTGCCAATTATAATTTGCACCCAATGATAATAAAATCCTAACTATATTCATCTTGACAACTGGAGCAAAAGTTTCCTGGTAATCCACTCCATAGGTTTGAGTGTAGCCCTTAGCCACTAACCTGGCTTTATACCTTTCAACAGTACCATCTGCCTTGTATTTTACAATAAAAACCCATTTACACCCCACTGAATTTTTTTTTTTAGACAACTCTACCAGTTCTCATGTCTGATTTTTCTTTAAGGCCTCCATTTCTCACTGGATAATGCCTCGGATAATGTAGTTAGAATAGAAATAGTGTTTAGGCTCACAAGAAAATTTTTGTGGGATGGTGAGAATTTTTCAAATGACACAAAATTAGAGATTGGGTATAATGGATGCTTGGTACATTCTCTGGTTCCTTTCCTAATGGCAATAGGCAGATCATAATCACTAGTTATAGTTTTAGGAGATTAATGCTATTTTGAGAAACAGAGTCAAAAACTGTAGTTACCTCATTTTCAGAGTTAAGATCAGGTTCTTGGACTGGCACTGGGTCAGGATCTAAAACTTTTCTTCTTGAGTACACCTGTAATTCTTTCATAGAATCAATAACAATATTATCCTTTGTCACATCTTCCGTATTTGGAATAGGTTCAAACTTAAATTCAGTATTTGACTTCGGCTCAGCAGAAACAGGTTTCGACTCAGAAGAATTAATGGGTGTAAATGTTGAAGAATGTGGCAAATCAAGCAAAAAAAAGTCTTTATCCTTATCTTTCATGAATAAAGTCTCCCCCTGAAGATAAGGTTGAGTAAAAAATGGTTTATTTTCTTCAAAAGTGACATCTGCAAACACAGAATTTTTTGGTATGAAGATGATAGCACTTATATCCTTTTTGAGTTAAAGAACACCCCACAAAAATACACTTAATCGCTCTTGGATCCAACTTTTTCCTGTTATGACTGTGAACATGAACAAATGATGTACAACCAAATATCCTAGGTGTGAGATTGTTTGTGGTATTGAGGTTGGGATAAAATTGTGAGAGTAGTTCCATAGGAGTTTTAAATCCCAAAACTCTTGAAGGTAACCTATTTTTAATGTGTGTGGCAGTGAGAACAGCTTCCCCCCAGTAAGATTTATGTACATTTGTTTGAAAAAGAAAGGCTAGGGTTATGGCTAATAAATGGTTGTTTTTCCTCTCTGTCACTCCATTCTGTTGTGGAGTATTAACACAAGATGACTCATGGATAATCCTCTCTTTTTGGAAATACGTGGATAGACTCTGGTTGAAGTACTCTCTTGCATTATCATATCTAAATCTCTTGATTCTCACTCCAAATTGATTTTGGATCATGTTTTGAAAGCTTAAAAACACACTATTCACATCTGATTTGGATTTAAGTAAAAAAACTCAAGAGACCCTGGTACAATCATCTATGAATGAAACAAATCATCTCGTACCAAAAATATTAGGAATTATAGAGGGACCTCAAATGTCACTATGAATCAAGTAAAAGGGAGTAGAACTTTTTTTGTTACTGATTGAAAAAGACACACGTCTATGCTTTGCAAGTTCACAAATATCACAATGAAAAACTTTGACATTTAATCCTTTGAACAAAGAAGGAAACATGTTTCTCAAAGTTCCAAAAGAAGGATGTCCAAGATGAAAATGATAAAGCCAGATTTTATCTTTATTGGAAGATTTTTCAGAAAGAAATGACAAAGGTAAATTATTTTTGATATTACTTGTGTTATTTGATGTCTCAAGATAGTATAATCCATCCTTCTCCTTAGCAAGTCCAATCATCTTCCTCGAACTCTGGTCTTGAAATTCACAATAAGAGGGATAAAAAGTTACTTTGCAATTCATATCTCTGGTACGTTTCTGTATAGATATCAAATTAGTAGACAATCTAGGAATATGAAGAACATTTTTGAGAACAAACGAAGGATTAACTTGAACATCTCCTAATCCTGCCACTATAGTAAGTGAACCATCTGCAACAACAATTTTCTTATTACCAGGACACAGGTTATATGTACTAAACTTTTGTGAGGAATGTGTCATATGGTCTGTGGCTCCTGAGTCAATGAGCCAAGAACTCGTAATAGGCTTAGCCGAGACGTTTAATCCATGAGAACCGGAAGCTTTACCTGAACTAAAAACCTTACCCAAAGAACATATCACAGTAGGCTTTTCAAGGATTTTCAATAAGTTTTTGAGTTTTTCAATCTCTTCCTTGTCGAACTCTCCTTGTTTCTGAGACATTTGTAGTACTCCAGTGATTTTTCAGTTGACATTTCCTTAAATTGGGTGGTAGTAATATCTTTCTTTGAAAGGGTTCGGCAATGAAGGCCTAAAATAGAAATCAGCAATGAAGGCTGAAAATTTTGTTTCCCAAGAAGACCCTAAAGCTCTGATATCATGTGAAAAAACTAAGAAATAAATCAGTGTGGAAACTGAATGTATATTGAAAAACTACTTATTGAGAATTATACAAAAATCTTAAGTTTATATACAACTAACTAGGGGTTAAAGTAAAAAAACTAAATCTTCTAAAAAACTAATCCTACAATTGAGGGATTGTCTATCCTAATTTTAGGGATACAAATACTTAATTCTAGAGATACAAATATAAATATACAGATTACAAGATTACAACTAGCTGTAAATAAGTGTTTTCCCACACATTCATCTAACAAATGGATCACTCCAATGCCTTGAACAGTTTTGTACGAGTATTAATTTTACTATCTCTTTATCCAAAGGTGATAATGACAGACATGGTTTTAGTTTCACAAAACTGATATGCAGAGAGGAGCAACTAGTTTTTCTATGTTATCCTAAATTTGTGGTGATTTGCACAAGGATTTGAATTGGGAATACAATTTTTCTTCTTATTTTCTTTGTTCTATACAGAATACAAAATTAATTGTGAATAAGCAATGATGAGTTGTTTCTGATGCACACATCTTCTTAAACTGTAGGCTGATGTTGATAATAGCGGCACGATTGATTATGGGGAATTTGTAGCTGCTACACTGCACCTAAACAAAATTGAGAGAGAAGATCATTTATTTGCTGCCTTTTCCTACTTTGATAAGGATGGTAGTGGTTATATTACTCCAGATGAGCTGCAACAAGCTTGTGAGGAGTTTGGCATAGAGGATGTTCGCCTTGAAGAAATGATCCGAGAAGTTGATCAGGACAATGTAAGTGGTTTGTTTTATTTTCCATTTTTAATTTGATCATTACATCATATATTGACCAAAAATAAGAATTGGAAAGGATTTTAGAGGGCCATATCTCTTGCCTTCAAAAAAATATATGCAGCGAAAAGTTGTGGTTCACTGGTTGAGTAACAGTTCACCAAATGAGTGATCTGGGGTTTGAGTTTTAAGTTAGCTCCCCTTGCTTTAGCCAAGATTTAAATTGAGTTGGTAGTCCTTTCTTTTTTCTTCACTGCAGCTGTCCAAATCTGTAAATAGTTGGCCTTTGAATAGTGTTTTTCAATATGGGTTAGTATAAAGTTGTCTAATTCTTGTGATAAAACCCTCTGTGCATCCATTGATCATAACCCCATTTCTCATTTCAAATAAAACTATCAAAAAATTTAATGCTTTTGCATTGCAAAGCTGTGCTAAATAATTGTCATATAGAAAACAAACTCTATTTTGCACTTGTGCCTGTATCATTTGTCTGCTGATCGTATATTCCATCTGATCATATGCAGGATGGACTCATAGATTACAATGAATTTGTAGCCATGATGCAGAAAGGAAATGTTGCCAGTGTTGGTAAAAATGGCCTACAAAATAGTTTTAGCATGGGATTTAGGGAAGCACTAAAACTTTAGTATAGGCAACTGTTCAAGTTCTTGTTGCCTTTTTCCTTTTTAAGTTTTGAAGAAACTGAGATTTGTATAGCAAGGAGTGCTTGTTTTCATTGTAATTAGCAACCAGGTCATTGCAATGAGCGTTTGTCCATTTTTCTTCTTTTTTTTGGCAATTAAAATTAGCTTCCATCATGTTGTTTACTTTACACTAAAGGAATTTGTGTTTTCTTTTATGTACTACACATATTATGTTATTTGAATTCAGAGTTTAACTTGATTGGTTTATATAGTTACTTTTAAGAGTATTCAGCGGATTTGGGATTTAAATATTTAGGGTTGAGGAAAAAAATTAAGAGAATTGAATTTCAAAATTATAGTATTTAATTTGGATTTATTTTTATTTATTCAATTTAATTTGGATTGGATATTGAATATTTCAATTTGATTTGGATTGATTTTTGAATCATGAAGTGAAAAATCAAAAATATTCAAAATGAATTGAATTTTTTATTAATTTTTATATAAATTTTAATTTTATAGTATGAAAATAATAGTAAAATATAAAAAAAATATTTTTTAAAAATTGATGAATCAAATTAATAAAATTCGGTTTAAACCAATTTGATTTTAAGTGAAAATCAATTTAAATTTAAAAAATTTAAAATATCATGCATTATTAAAAAAATTAATCCAAATTTGATTCGATCCAATTCGTTATCACTCTTATAAATTTTAGCACCTTTAAAACCTTGATATCTTGATTCAAGTCTTACTCACATTGGATTTATCTAGTTACATATTGTTTGGTTAGTTGATTATTTAAAGATTTCTTATATATATGAATGTAATAATTGATTATGATTGTAAACAAAAAAAATAAAGAGAAAGAGGAAAAAAATTAAAAAGGGTTTGAGAGAGATCAAAAGAAAGGAGAAAGCAAAATAGAGGAATTAGAGATGAACGAAGAAGGAATTAGGCAATATGTGAAGAAAGAGAAAAACAAAGAGGGAGGAAAAAAAGGAAGCAAGAAAAGGAAAAAAGGTTGTCGGTTGGCTAGATCTTGGTACTTATTCCTCTAGTTAAGACCTCATCACTTTTATTTTAGTTTAGCTTTAAATTATATTGAATTCTATAACAAAAAGAAGTAGAAAAACAATGATGAGGAGGAAAAAAGTGATTCTCAACAAGGTTAGTAAGGTTTTTTATATTTTTCATTTTTTTAAATTTGATCAAAAAAAAAGGAAAGAGATTGATTTGGTTCTTAAGAAAATGGAATTAAAGTGGAAGGTAAATAAAGAAGTCAGATTTCTTTAATTAGTTTTTCCATTTTTGTTTTTTCCTATTTTTCATATAGAAATATATTTTGTAATTCATCATTTCATTTATTTATATATGTTTTACTCTTACAAAATAATAAATGAAAAAAGATTAACTGCTATGATTTGCATGTTGTTACCTATAATTTTTTTTCTTGATTTTTCCCTTACATTTTTATTTTTTAATTAAATAGTTTTTTGTTTTTCATTTGGTTCAAGATACTTGAACAAGAAAAATCAATGAATTTCTTTTACCTTTTTCTTCATCGTCCTATTTTTCATTTAATTTTGTTTAAAATTTTTTGATATATTTTGTATTCGTAAAGTGATAATATTATTGTGTCTATATATATTAAGAAAATCCAAACTTTCTTTTCACGCACAGAATATAATATATTTATGGCCAAGTATTTTAGGTTTTGAATTTATTATGGTTTTAATCATATATTTTTTATTTCAATCCCATTGCATGCCTTCAAATTCCTGAAATGAGTTTATTAAACTTTTCATATTTTGTTCTTTGGATGGCAAAACAAGGTTAGAACGTAAGATTAAAAATTATAATTCAAATGATCATCAAAATTACAAAATCAGAAATTATGTTCTTTAGTTTTTTGTTGCAATTTTAAACTTTAAAGTTAATTGCATCTCATTTACAAACAACGATGTATATAATAATACCTTTATGAATAAATTGTTAGCTCTTGTTTGTAAGTTACTGTGTTAAATAGTTTTTTTCCTTTAAATTTTTTTAAGTATGCTTGAATTTAAAATTGATTGTTATTCTTTTGTTGCTTTGAGAACATTATAAGAATTCATCATTATATAAACTCATAGTAGACTCTAAAATCTTGATTAAGGAATGACCTGTATATCTATTACTTTTGAAGTACCTCTCTTTTATAATTATATATTAGTTGGCAGCAATTGTTAATATTTTATGTTGTATAGCCATTTATTTCTTTTTAGATTCCTTTATCTTTATTATTAATTTTTTTTTGTGTTCAAAATTGCTATTCTCTCTTTGCTCGAGTTAGTTTGTATCTATTTTTGTCTTAGTATACTTTATATTTGCATTTTAATTTTCAAATTTGTTATTTATTTGTAATTATGATTTAAATTATCACATGTTAATTTGTTTGAATGAATATTTTAGTACGCTTTATTTTTTCTTGGTCTATTTATTTAATTATTTTATGTGTTTGGATATTGCATGATTAATAGTTATTAGTTTTTCTTTCAATTTCATTCATATATTGTCAATAACACTGCAACTTGGAATGACTAATTAGTTTACTATGAGTATATAATATAAAAAATTTCAAGGAACTTTTTTATTATTTATTTGATTTTTAGCAAAATTAGTGGATTAAAAGAATTATTAACCTCAACCAAAATTGCTACTTCAGGTCTTTGGCAATTTTCTGCTCAAGTGATGACTATGGGCAATGGTGAGTAAGATTTTAAGTTTCACATACTTTATGATTTTAGCAAGTTGATTTCTACACATTATCAATTAACAATTAGTATTCAAGGCATGTTTTGGCATTTTAAAATCATTTGCAGGAAGTACCTATATGAGAAGATAATAAAAGATAAGCTAGGTTGTCTAGTTTGCAACATTGATCTAGGTTGTGCTCTATTAGACAAACTCAAGTATGTGAACATACATATTCATTTATCACTTTAATTTTCTCTCTACAGTATTGTGGTTCTAATTTAATTTTGGATTTTGAGATCTTTGAGGTGCTTCTTACAATACTATTTCTAACCATAATAGCCATAGATTGTTGGTTTTGTTTTCTCCCTCTTAATTGAACTACATTCATTTGGTAATATGTTTATATTTTATACTTTAAATTACAAAACACTTGCTTTTAAATATTTTTATTTCTACATTTGAATTATTATCTCCATTATAATTTTTAATGTAATGGATGCTTCAAAATGCCTTTTGTTGAACTTTTTAGATCATTTTTCTTGATTAAACATGTGATTGAATAGATTAGGTAATTTAGGCTCCTTTTGGTAACCAAAAATTAGCTTCCCTATAGAATATATTTTTCATGGAAGACATTTTTCAAACAGCATGGTTGCTAATGATTGCATTATTGTTGAATTATTTATTCTATTGGAATTGCCTAAAAGGAATGGTTGAGCCTTTTCAGTTTTAACTAGGTTTGATAGTTTAACAATCAACACTGATTTGTATGTATATGTTATCTTTGAATTGATCTTTATTTTGAAATAATAAATTATTAAACTAAATAAGCTTATTAAGATTTTAAAAAAGATTTATTTAATATGTGTTCTTAAGTTTTATTATTTTTTGTTACTAAATAATTAATATGTTTTTCAAAATGATATTTAATTTGAAAAATATCTTAGAATATTGCTTTTGAACTCAAAAAAAAAAAATTTTATTAATAATTTTGTAATGAAAAATAATTTAAGACAAAAGACAAACTTCTTTCCTCATTGAAAACATGTTTTATAGAAATTTGGAAAAGAAGGATCAATCTTTCTTACACAAAAAAGAGAAAGCTTTGCTTAAAAACCTAAAATGGATTTATCCATTTTTAAAATGAATCAATTGGTTGTCAAATGGATCAATCCTTTCCAAAATGGATTGATTGATTTTTTATACAGAATGGTCTCAAACTTGAAAATTGTAAAAATGAATCAATCTCATTGATAATGGATCGATCAGTTTTAGGGTTAAAAAAAATAAATTAATCCCTTTTGAAAAAGGATCGATCGATTTTTTTTATACAGAAAGCAAATTGATTTCAAAACTACTAAAATGGATCGATCCCTTCTAAAAATGGATCGATTGATTTTCAAAATGGATTGATCCTCTCTAAAAATGGATCGATCGATTTTAGCTTTAACAACCTCAAATAGCTAGTTTTTCAAAAGAACAACAATCATTTTCATCTTCAGTTAATTCCCAATGGCTAGAAACTCATTTCCTCAATATATTAGGCATTCTAATGCACTTATGGAGTAAGAGAGCAAGTATTAACAAGTTATATATTCATTCTCTTAAGAAATCAAGAGCTTTAAAGTCAATAGTGCTTTAGTTTCATATTCTTTTTGTAATTCTTCTATCCAAATTACATTTGTTCTTCATTTATTATTCCTTATACTTAACCTTAGCAAACACTTGCCTATTAAAGGTTTTTTACTAGTTTGCAAAAACTTTTGACATCCAAAGGGGATTATAAAGCAAGAAGTGTGATATCCTTTTGAAAGTTTTGTAAATGATTAGGTAGAATCCTACAAATGGGTAGAAGTTACTATCTTGACCTTGAATGATAGAGATTATATTTTGTAAAAGATTTTTCAATTAGTGGATTTAGTTTGGCTAGAAAAGCTAAGAGAGAGAACGTAAGTGCCTTCGGAGAAGGATCTAACCTATATAAAGCTTTATATTTGTTTCATGTTCATTAATTATTATTTATTGCATCATATTTTTATTACATATTATATTGATTTTGATTTTGCATTCAATTTAATTGAAAAAATTTTTTAGAAAAGAATTTAGAGACAATCCAATTCACGCTCCTCTTAGGTTGCTATTTACACTTGAGCTAACAATTGGTATAACAATTTTTAGTCTCTTTTGTAGTGTCGTAATGGTTTTGAGACCGTCAGACGTAAAAACGAGTTGTTTTAAAATTGAGAAAAATAAAAAAAAGAGGGAGTTGCCACCAATCTTTATTAGGGTGTGATTGGCCACCCAAAAGTTTATCTTTTTAATAAAACTATAAAAACGGGTTGTTTAAAGTTTATCAAAAAGATATATTTCGGTCTACGAAAAATCAAGTTGGGTCCGGGAGTCGGTTACGCGTGGGAAAAGATTAGCACCCCCACAACGTCCATAAATTGGTACCATTCAACTATGCGCTATTTTCAATGTCGAATAAAAATGGTTTTAATTTGAAATTTAACATTAATTTCCTTTATTTAAAAAAAAATTTTTTTTTTTGCTAAAA